TCTTTTTTTTTTTTTTCGGGTCGGGTCAGGTTTAGGGTGCCAACCCGCGACCCCACCCGACCACCCAACCCGAAAACCGCCCAAAAAATGCAAACAACCGATCCAAATCGGTCGGTTTTGTCAGGTCGGTCGGTTTTTTGCCCACCCCTATTCACAGTGAAGTGAACTGGATGAAAAAGAAATCTGCAAGCATAACAAACACAGAAATTGACACAAGATGATTTAACACAGCAACAACTTCCACTCCTCTGTTCTGAGTATCCGAGGTCAACCAATGAGTACATGCTCCTAGCAAAAGCCACTCCTGGACATCATTATTGCAGTCCTACACTTGCAGACAGGGCGAAGTTCTCTAGCATTTACACAAATAAATAAAGACCAAGTTAATATTCTATAGGAAAATCATTTGTATGTTGTATTTGTTGTTGCAACAAGTCTAATACGATGAGCCCAATAATTTGTTGAATTGAAACGCCGCTTCTAGCTATCTCAGTGGAAATTTGATATATTTTTTTCTGCCTCAGCAGATCATTTTTTTTCCCACAAGGGATCGTGATGCCTTTCTACTGGACTACAAATCTCTTTATCAATTCCTATTTGAGGTGCACAATTCAATCATAATTGTTAACAAGTGCATGCCAAAGGGGAGGGAATCTTAGTATTAGGATTTCAATCAAGCTCCCCCGTATGAGTAAGTCCCCAACCTGCCTCAGTATCAATCAAAAGCAACTATATGTATATGTGTGTTTCAGTGAAAATATGTAACAGTACATCTGTAATGCTCACTTTAGCAATGATACAATAAATAAGATCAGGACACATCTTCAACCAGTCAATCATTTGGCAAAAGCTTAAGAAATTGCAATGTAATCAAAGAGAAGACACAAGTTTAGCCGGGAATCTAACTCGAGATGGTAAAAGAACTCAGAAATTGAGCAATTGCATGACCAAATAAGCGACACAAAACTAATATCTTTAATCTTCGTTCCAAGGACACTGAACTGGACAACTGTTTCAAGGATACTATATCAGCAACTACTAAAATCCATATAACGTAAGTGGTCTTCCATTTTGTTTCCATTTTTCTCGAGGTTCACAATATTAGTTCTATAGCATTCCTACAGTTTTCCCGTGCACCTCCTGTGACAGTAGATCCTCTTCCTCAATCAATAAATTGCCAGTTTTTGTGTAATATATGGATTCAGATCTTTAGCTTGTCTCTTCGCCTATCCCTATATTAGTCTATTTGAGCCCCTTCCTATGAAGTAATAATTCTTGATCCTCTTTGGCAGCGGCCTATTGCTAAGGAACTCTCTCGTTTGCATAAGAGAAATGTTCTGAATTTTGTTCCACCACCAGCTATAAAAGCACAATTGGTTCTTGTTGTATCTATAAAATTAAAAACAAGTCGGATGGTTCAATTGATCGTATGGAGATTCACCCAGCAGTGTGATATGGATTATGAGGCGACCTTTGCTCAGCGAAGATGACTATTATTTCAGTTGCCTCTGGCAATATATTTCAAATGGCTCCTAAGAACACTTTTTCGAATTGAGTTCCTCAAGAGGAAGTCTATGCAGTACACCCCCTAAAGACCGGAAGGTAGCCCTTACAAAAAAAAGAAAAAGAAAAACGTAGTACTGCATCATCAGATAGCATTTGTATATGCAACTTGATTTACAGAATAAAATCCTTGCATTGTACTCTCCAACTCAATAAAAATATCTCGCTATTATTAGTTCACAGTTCATCTCGAATATTCTTCTTCCTCTAATACTAGGACTTGGCAAGTGAATCATGTTCTCGTCAGATAATTTTCAAAGCTCGAAATCATTTTCAACAAATTTGAAAGAATTTGCAGCATGCTTGAACATAAATTGCGTTCATGAATTCTTACTTGAAAAGATGAAAATTGTAAGATCTTTGTGGTTGAATCAATCTAAGTGCCAAAAACTGTGAGTTTTCATGTCAAAATAGTGATTCTTGAACCTTTTCAATTTTAGTTTATTTTTCCATACGAATTTTACATTCTTCTTGCCATCTTTTCTCCCCTTTTTTTCTCAAGACAAGACTAGGAATTTGTATGGGAGTTAAGGGAGGTTACGGGGAATTGTATGTTTGAATTCCGTGTTAAAATCACTCCCTTCAATCATTTTGATGTTTTGCGAGTCGGTTCACCTCACTAGTCACTTGAACGACCCACTACCTGTATTTTCCAACAATTTTCGTACCAACAAACGCTAATATCAACTTTCAGGAGTATAACAATTTGAAGGTCAAACTTATCAAGTCAAAATGAGTTAGAAAGATGCAGATATTCTATTATCCCCGAAGTCTGTGAATCAGAAATTACAATATGTCACATCCAAAGTGAGGAAGACTTTGATTACAACTGTGTGAAGGTATATCGACAAAACAATCGCCTGATCGTCAGAGGAATCCCTTGGAATCAAGACAACCTTGTATCATTGCAATAAACCCGAATATGTTTTTTTTTTATCCTATGGATCCACTTACACCCAACAACATTTTGGGAGGGCGTAGAGAGATGAGTCAAGTACAATTATGAAGAAGTGCTTCAAATTCTTGACGAAATAATATTACAAGACTTGGTGAGGGAGATGTGGAGTGGGACCGTAAATTTGGTGGGGAGAGTCATGGCTGACACCACCCACTTATTTGAGTGGTTTAAAAGGGAAAGGGTAATGCCATTTGTACACATTATTGACATTTGCATTATTATCTACAAATAATTGGATGAAAAAGTTATTTTTTTAAACTGTTCAATTCGGTAATGCGATGTGGCAAAGTGGTAATGTTGTTGGTGATCGTCTAATCCGATGAATGTTTTGTGAAACAACCCCGAACTAGTTGGTATGGATGTAATGCCCCCAAAAGAACCTAGAACGTGAGTGGGATTGACATAAAAAAAGCTTCCAAAAGGAAATTTTGACAGTGACAAAAAAGGAATCCAGGACTAGGACATAGCCGTTGGATACGCTATTAATATTCTCGTCAGCTCAAATAAATCACTAAACCAGTAAAAAGTGCATAATAAATATAATACACAAAAGTAGCCGTTTCCTGTCTAGAAATTTATAGCCGTTGCGATCTGAATGCAACGTTAAAAATCTTGAAAGCGAGCCCCATTAAGTTTCCTTCTAATTGAGAATTAAAAACGTGAGGGGGACCAAATGGGGCACCCAAATTATTTCAAAAGGAAATAATGATGAATTAATGACAAGAAAAGAGCAATCTTGGATGCCGACCGACTGCTGTGTTTCCTCCTTTTTATCGCATTCAAAATCCATCTTCCAACCCTAAAGTGTAACGCTGGGAAACTTGCATAATCCATAACCTACAAAAAGTTAAAACAGGTAATTAAAAACAAAAAAAAAATTGTCTAATAAAGCTAATATGCATTTTAATTCATATTTGACAAGTGTAAGCAGATAGCAGTATTCAGAATGATTACATGGAGCGTCTTTTGTGTACATAATAATATGCTACCTTTGGTGCAAGTCTTTGTGTCATCAACTCAACACTCGACCCTATTAGGGTGTTTGTTGGGGATTAAAATTTGACTTTTAGTAGATTTTGATATAAGTTTTTAAAATGTGTGGTTGAAAAATTGTGAGATTCATGAAAGATACGGTTAATCCAGACCAAACATGGTCTGAACCTTTCAATAAAGCTATGACAGAAGTTCTCATCAAACCTGTACACTTTTAATAAATATGCTCAAAGTGTTCATTTCTATGCAACATTTCATAAAAGGTCAGAATACTTAATCCCTTCCAAGTCCTATTTAATTGAGTCTTGCTACCTAACATGATAATTGATATAAATGCGTTGAATGTTCAAGTATGAGTTGTAAAGTGGTAGTACTTACTTGGATCATGAGCAGTCTGCACAGCAAGGCCATTGAAGTAACAAGACCCGCCACTCTTCTTAAACTGCGACCAATAAGAACTAAAAGCGTAACTTGCATGGTTAATCAAAGAATTAGGCTTGTAACACTTTCCGCCAGGTTGGATCGGGTCACACGTCCGATTACCCTGACCACAGGCATAAGACAGAGCCCCGGCCACTGCGGTCCGGTTCGCTCCTTCGGCTACAACGCACCAAATCTTACCCTTATAAGGCTCATTGTTTGTAGGCTTAGGCAATGGTGGGTACTCCGACTCTGGTGTCTTACCAGATAAATCAATAGGATACACATAAGACCCGTTAGGATATAACAAACCAAAATGCCGCTCGGTACCTGGACCTGGCTTCTGGTTTTCGTTATATAAGGCGAAAATCATGGTTGGGATTACCACCCCGGGTCTAGCCGGAGTTCCAATAGGAGGCTTAGCCGTGAATTTCTTAACCACGTTTCTATTATACGTGGCGGCATTGTAAATATTTGCACCGATTTGATCAATGTCGCCACCATTAGGCCAACCAGTTTCGGCTATAAATAGCCGAATATTGGGGTACCCAAGTCTCTTCATGGCAAAAATAACAGAGTCAAGCATTTGATCCAACAAATTAGTGTAGGCCAAACCCGAAACTGGATCTTTGTAGGTAATATTTGTGGCTGCTAGCAAAGCATAATCAAGATTGATTTGGGCTGGTTGATTTGCCCAAGCAAAATAAGTGTACACATCAACGAAGAAAAATGACTTAGTTCTGTCCAAGAAACGCAACAATGGCTTAATAACTTCATCCCTAACATCAGACCTAAAAGTACCATTAGACGGAGGAAATGAAGATTCTAATGCGTCCATTGCTAATGGAGTTCCAACTTTAATCTTCTTTAGACCGAATTTCTTCACAGAATATCTGATTTTACGCATAGCAGGTACAAGATTGAACCAGGTGGTGTTGGGTGGGTTGCTCAAGATCTCATTCCCTACTAAGAGGTAACGGATCAGGGTTTTCGGGTAAAAAGGTACCACATTGGTTTTGACCCACTCATCTGCTAGTGTTTGGTTTGAAGAGATATTGGTGATGATTTCGTTTGGGACCATGACTGAGGCTTGAAGGTGAGTGCCTTTAAGGGCTTCGAGGATTTTTGTGTTGGCATCATAGATTTTGACACGTTTGGCTCCGAGTTTCTTGATTAGTTGAATCGATTTTGATTGTGTAGGCAGGTTGTTGCCCAGTTGACCGTAGCATATTCCAATCTTGGGCTCCATATCTCCATCTGCAAATGAAGAAAATAGAACAATGAGTTACACTTAAAAGAACACATGATACACAAGTTAATGTTAATATATATGTCCATGTATCTTACTGGAGAAAGAAGGGCATAGAGCTAGAAGAGAGAGCAGAAGAAATGGAAAGAAACCCATCTCCTAGATTTACTCCAATCCTCTTTTCTGTGTCTTTTCGTGCTGGAAATTGATGAGATTTATGAAGGATTGGCGAATCTCTGGTGGTTCAGAGAGGCAGGATATGATTTATGGAGGACTAGAGTTTGTAGATCCGGGAGAGGCGTGTATAGAACGTTGAGCTCAAAAGGGATGTGTGAAAGGGGTGGGGTCGCTGTCGCATGTCCTCGATATAGTCGTTGTATTCATAGAACGGACCAAAGATGGAGTCAACTGTTTGATAGTATAATCCCACGTTTAGTGCTTGTTTGTTAAAATCGTATTCATGAACAGATGAACTTACAACTTTCAATCCATGTCAGAGTTATCGACTTGAGAAGATATAAATTAATTGAACCATGCTACGTCAACATATGGGATGACATTGGGGATGATCGAACACACACCGCGGGGTCCATACGCAATGTGAGGATCGATCACCCAAAGTGTCAACCATTTTTGGGTAGAGTGGCTTTACTCAAATTAATTTTATGAATAAATATTATCCATGCAATGGAAAATTACAGCTGCAATTACTAAAGTTTTAATAATTACACAAATGGTTACTGAAATTATTTTCTTATGATAATAGTTACTTGATTCTTGTGATTACACTAATGATCATTCGATAAAAGACATTAACGTTAAATCCTTCCTAACGTAATTAATTGCCAACTAGACGATGAAATTTATTACATTAAGTCAACGAAAACTATTGCTAAAACGAACGTGAACTTACCATACAATTAAAGTCCAAAAATCTTACAAAAACTAAAGTTGTATTACATTTTCTCATATAAAAGTATTTTATCCTTAATCCCTAATAATTCAATTTTGTTGACTTTGTGTAATAAATAACTTCGTTTAGGAATATGTCGGCACTGAAGACTTCGTATAGAGTTTAACGTTAATGTCTTTGATAATTGATTATTGGTGTAATGGTTAGAATTTGAGTAAGAAAAAAATAATTAAGATGATTATTGACGTAATTACTCAAAACCTCAGTGATCATTAACGTACTAACCTCCCTTCAACAAAAACGAGAATTAGATGAACTATTGATCACGAACATTCGCTTGTGATCTTATTAAAAATGTATCATCAATATCATTTTTAAAAAAGGAGAATATTATGAAGATTTTCATAATTTATAAACTCAACTAACATATCCCAATCGTTTGGCATCTCTTTTTGCTATTAAAGATCCAGAATTATTTTTTTATTAATTTAATTTATTTTAAAAATTGATTTATCAATAGTAAATAAAGTAGGCGGAGGGAGGTGAGGAAAAAAAATTATACTATTTATTATTATATTTGTGTTTACATTTTTTTTCGTAAGTAAATTAGGTCTCCGCTCAATTTGAGGTGTTGCTCCGCCATTGCATATCATGTAACCTAATAGAATAATGTTATTCATACTACTCATTGTTAGTAGTTATCCTACGTGACAATTTGTTATTTGAGACATCAATTTCTTATAAATTTTTTTTTATAACCATGGATGTCCGGGCCAGCATGCGCGCACCTCGATTAATCCCACGAGACACTTAAATTTACGGTCGGGTACTCACCTCAATGACTCTGAAGGGAATCAATTTCTTGTAATTTTATTGACTCAAATAACGAACTACAAAGTAAGGCGACTACTGATAATGAGTGACTACGAATAGCATTACTCAACCTAATAAGTCCGACATTCTTTATTAATAATTATACGTTTCGTTTGGAACAGTGCAACTACACAAATTTATTGAGTTAAATTTAGGATCAGTTAGCTGTAATTTCCATAATGTATCATGAAAGTGTAGTATTCGTTTATCAGAATATTACACTTTAGCTACTGACTTTACCTTTCGTGTACAGAAAAGTTGAGCAAAAAAGAAGAAATGGATATTGTCATCGGAGAATCGATTCGATATTTAGGGGAAAAAAAAGTATTTGGTCCCTAAAGTTTCAGAAATACTTCAGGTTGATCTTTAAAACTAAATTTATTTCAAATTAGTCACTAAAATTTCCTAATTTTATACTTCCATGCAAGCCTAAATTGTGCCAAAAAAGTTGACTAAGCGATGATTAAGGCTGACGTGGAAATTATTAACAATAAGCTAGTACATTGTGATATTGATAGCTTCTACGTAGGATTTGACATTAATCTTGCTAACGAATTGACCGTATTGGAAATGTTAAGAAACTTTAAGGATCCGTTTGATTGACTAAGATGGAAAGGCTTTCCAATTCTATGAAAGTTGAAAAATAAAAACTCAAGTTCCATGAAATTTGCAAAAAAAAAAAAAATTTAAAATGGTTGTACCTTAGAATTCGAACTCCACGTCCACTTTCATATCAAACAGCTAAAGTAGAAATTGAATTTCTCGAATGTGACATTTTCCATGGAATTTAAACCAATCAAACTGGCCCTAAAATTGATTTGGAATAAAATTAATTTTAAGGATCATCTTAGAATTTATCTGTAACTTTAAGGACCATCTTTAAGTTTAGCCCAAAAGGAAAGTGATAAAAGTTGGGTCTTTCTGACTCCTTGTTTGAGTGTGCATTGTCATATTTTGAGGAAGCCAGCAAAAGTTGTCTACTTTTTCTAGGATACCGTTTGGAATTTAGAGCTAAGCTTTATCAAAACTTGCAATTAGGTTAACGATATAATTCTTCTTGGTTACGACTCACGACAAAGTTCACAACAATCAATTCCTAATCTTAGCTCCCGTTTGGTGTACATTTTGAAGGTAAGAATGCATTTTTACTGTTTGATGTGATGGAGAATATGTTGTTGAAAAATAAGGAAAAGTTATTGATGTGATGGAAAATATTATTTTATTGAAAAATGTGTAGTTAAAAATGAGTAGAAGAACGAAAATGAAAAAAATAATGTGAAGCAAACATGGCCTTAAGTTTTCGAACAATTTAGTCAAAAGTCGAATAAAATTTTCCAAAAGGTTTTCTCGATGGTTTATGTCTAATTCCATTCTAAACTAAAAATTGAAAAATATGAACCAATTTTTGTATTTGAATTTCAAAACTATGTTATGGAATCGAATTTTAACCATCATCAGATGGTATCTAATAAAGGACGTTAAATTTTTTCTGACAATCAACCATCATGAGTTTGAGTGACCAAATGGTGAGCTTATGAGCGGCATCATTGCTCATCAAAGTGATGATCTTTTGACTCGAATCCATGATCTAATCTTTGATACTATTTGTAGAATTGTTTTTTTAACCATTTTATCTAAAAATTATACGGTGTTCAATGAATAATACTAAACTTTTTATGATAATCAATCACGATCATATGAGCGACCAACTGGTGGGCTCAAAAGTGGAATAGTTGTTCAGTGATACAACGCTCTTGTGATTTAAATTCATGATCTGGTCCATGATACAATTGTAAAATTACATTTTAATCGTCATATGTGAAAATTAATTGATGTTCTCCAAGGAAAGGCTGCATCGTTTATGACATTAGATTATTGTGTGAATAACTCAAACTTTGGACTTCGAGCAACGTTGTTGTTTGGGTTTCATTATAAGTAATTTATAATTTCCTTATAACGAAAAAAATAATGAGTATCACGAAATGTGAGAATAATAAATAGATAGTAGAAAATTGTTTAGTACTATTAAAGTATGAAGTATTCGGTATTCTTCAATATTGTTTAAATTGGCATGTGTATTAAATAACTAAAACTGACTATTTAATTAAATTTATACATGCACTTATCAATTAATAGTGCATCGAATACTAAAAAAGAAAAATTAATTGTAAGCATGCAATTACAATTAAAATTAATCAAAAATCATTAACTAGCTCATTAAATGAAATGTAGAATTAAATGACTTACTTAATTCTGCTTCTCATTTAATGTTACATTAATGCCACTTAAATTGGAGTTATAATTCAAGAGTAATGCTTTTTAGGATGATAAGTTAAATAAAATGTGGAATTAAATAATTTATTTAATTTTATCTATTATTAATGTCAAATTAACACAATCTAAATTGGGGTTGTAACGTATGTTCGCTAGCCAATAAAACGATGTGCCACTTACACAAAATGTGGCATGTATTTGACGAATGACACATTCAAATAAAGTATCGAAAATGGCCTTGTCACCTTCGCTATGGAAAATTACATGCAGGAAATGACGAGGGCAATTTTGTCTTTTGAAATCGTAAACCAAGGGTAAAAATGGAATCAACAGTAATTGAAATTTTGAATTTTCAAAGTTCCAAAAATGCTAATAAGCTGATTTTAGCCGTTCTTGGACGAGTGAATCGTATTTTAGTGAACTCCGCGCTAAAAATATAACAAAATAACAATAACTCCTCGTTTGTTATCCATTTTTTTTAATATACATTTTTTTTTTCAACGACACATTTTTGAAATAAAATAATATTACATACAAACGAAAAAAAATTTCTTCATTTATAATCATACATTCTCTATCATCTACTGTAACCACTGTATCGGTGAACAAAATATTTCGTATATGTAGATAAATCCTTGTTATTTACGGACTCCCACTCTTTCCATCGACCCCAAACAGACCCCACCCCCTTTCCAGTGTCTCGCACGCTTTCTCCATTACCAAGGTTAAGAAATATGGGAAAGAGAGTACTTTTTAGTTTTTACCAGCCTAACGTAAATTTTGAGAAGCCAAAGTTGTCTTACTGCTATTGGTTATTGGGGTTGACCAATATGGGTGTGAAAAGCATCTTAAAAAATCACAAATTAGAAGACTAGTTAAACGCAAGATATTTATTTCATACATGGAGACGAATATAAATTAAAAATTAAAATTCTACCGCTTAGATTATTATTGTTGTTGTTTAAAAGAGAATGGTAAAGATATTATGAAATATGAGGCATGACAACTAGCTTTAGAGTTTGAATAAGAGTTAGACAAAAAATTGACAAAAAAGGATCACGTCAGGTGCAGTTTTAGCATTTGTTGCGACAGTGTT